AGCAACATTGAAATATATGAGCGTACCAGGGATCCAAACCAAAAGGAATATCGGTTCGGCTTCAGGTTCGGATAAAAATAACGGTTCAAGGTTCAGGTTCGGTTCGTAAAAAATCAAAATATCCAAACCTACATTGGAATTATGTATAGGGAAAATATTTTTTTATTTTATCATTAATTTAAAAAAATACATGTATAAAACTTACCTTTTATTTTAATTGCACATTATAAAATAAAATTTAATTTATAAATATAAAAATAAATATCAATGATTAATTTTAATATGAACAATATTTTACTTTTTTTACTTAAATTTTTTTTATTAAGCCACACAATTAATATATTTTCAAAATTCGTCCCACTCAAATTACATCTATAAGGTGATAGCTTATAAATTTAATTGTTGAAAAACATCTTTCCATAGTCTACACTAACTCTGGTAGCATGCACTGCCAATATGATATCAGATTTGATATGTGATTTATAATAATATTTTGGATGTTGTTAAATGACAATTTACTAAAGTTTACAAAAATTATTACCGACACTTATCAATCAAACGTGATTCATGATAATCTTTAAAATAATTAGAATATAATTGAAATTTTTTCATTTGTACTAATAATAACTTACATATTATTTTATAAGCATAAAATCATGAGTCTCGAACCGGTTCAGAGGCATTTTATCGGTTCGGTTAGGCTATAATTTTTTTAGCGGTTTAGGTTCGGTCAGGTTCGATAAAAAATACCGGTTTTTAGCGGTTTAACGGTTCGGTTTGGATCCCTGGAGCGTACCTTATCACAATAATCTAACAAATATATTAGTGCAACTAAATGAATCCTCAAATATCACAAAAAAAATTACACACAAGAATAATACTCATCTCTTCATTTAAGAAACACGTTTACAAGCATCCAGCCTAGGAATAAACATATTTATGAAGTTAAATGTTATGATTACAATGAGATGGAAAAAACTATGCAAAGAATTTATAAAAGGTTCCTATAATATTTCTGGAATTGCTGTTGACTCATTTAATTATAAATCAAATTGATTTGGAGAATCCCAACATTGATAGGGTGCAAATTTAAAATATTTCTTATTTTATTCCCAGGATTAAAGACAATCCTGAAGTGCCTAGGATTTAAAAGTATACCCTTCAATAACTTCCGTTTTAAAATAATACATTATTTTTAAAACTATATTATCAATTTATAAACAATGCTTAATTAATTCAAACGTTTTTAACTATGTGTTAGATTCCTTATTTGTTGAATTTCTAAGTCGCCGAATTTCTAAGTCGAGATTTACGTAATCTTAAATAATGTTATCTCCTTAATGCTGAATGGATTTTCTTTTTTCAATTTTATTATTTTTCATACAACTTTTTTTATTTTTCATTTTCCAAGAAAAAAAAACAAAATCTTTTTTCAAAAAAATACAATTTTTTATTTTCATTTTCTAAGAAAAAAATCAAAAAAAAATCTTTTTCAAAAAAATACCAATTCCAAGAATTGGTCAAAAAAATTAGGCACAATTCCAAAAAATCGATAAAAGAAAATAAAAAATAATAACAATCCAAAAAATCATAAAAAAATAAAAATAATAATATCTCCCTAAGATTTCATAACATCTCCCTTTTTTAAAAAGATTTTCTAATTTGATCTTTATGTCTCTTCCACTAGCCCTTAGCGGTATCCACAGTATATATGAACTTTCCCGATCGGCCCACTATAGTCCCCTTGATCCACTTTACTTTGTCACTATAAGTTTTCGTCCATACTGATTGTCCTATCTTGAAAAATGTACCTCTTTGATCTGCGTGCGTATCGTCTTGTTTGCTCTCATGGGTTTCTTTAATCATTTCAAGATGATTCCGAGCATTCCGTCCAAACATCATCTGTGCTGGGGTTTGTCCTGTAGTCGTATGCTGGCTATAAGCTAATAAGAATTCGCTTAGTATTTTTTTTATTTTCGTATCCTGCTTCCATTTTCTTCCCCAACCGAAGTCGAAGTTGTTGATCTTGGTTGTGAGTTTAGTCTTGTTGGAATTCGTAAATTTTTCCCTCTTCGGTAGCTCTATTTGTTGAATTATTCTGATCGTGAGTCTCTTAATCTTTTTGTTACCGATTTCTCCTAATTTTATCTGAGGTGCTGATACATCGTCGTCCCAGATGTTATATTGAAATATTTTTAATTTACATATATCGAATTTGTAATTTTTGATTTTGGGTGAATATTTTCCCTTAATTTCCACTTTCTCGATATGATCATAATCTAGTTTAATCTCTATATCGTGAGATTTTAATAAAATATTCATAAGTCCGTTATCATTATTTAATTTGATTTTTCCCTTATTTTTGTCCTTTAAAATATTTTTCGCTTTTATATTGTAATTATTTGATAATTTTTCCACTGTTTTTATCCTTTAGAATATTTTTCATTTTTACATCTTGATTATGTCTAGTTGGAGACTTGGGTGTTACATCAATTATATTATACTCATGATTTTAGTGGTTTTAACTTGTAATTTATCCTTTAATAAATACTTTGAACATTTCTTTTGTTTTGACGTGACTTGTTCTTTTTTCTCGATACTTGACGCAAGTGCTAAACTGTAAGAATTTACAGAATCGTTAATGGAAGTTATATAACAAGGCATAAAATCTGGTAATTTTTTTGAGTCGGGTGCTTTATCCCTGAATTTTTCGTTTCCTATATCCATTTCGTTGACATTATTATCCTTTTTGTATTCGTGTTTTATTTTATCAATAATTTTGTTTTCTTCAAATTTTTGAGGATAAATTTCATGGTCTATCGCGGGAATATAACATGCTTCCTTCCCCTTTAAAATATTTAACATATCATAATACTTTAGATCCATCATATTTTTCGGCACAGCTTTTTGGGCTATAATATATATATCGCTGGATTGTAATGAGAAATTAATTATCGCTTTTTTCTTTTTTTTATCTGTAATATTGTTTGCCGCAAAATGCGGTTCAAGTCTTAGAATATAATTGGTAAAATTTTCTCCGAATTGTTTTGTAAATGTCATCGTTTAGATTGCAAATCTTATATTGCTGATAGTTTCAGCAGATAGTTTTAATTTAGTATTATTATTATCGTATGCATCTTCGGTCCCTCCTTCACAATAACCAAAGGTAGATTTTTTATGATATCTTTTATTTGAACTTTCACTTCCACACTACCTATAATGGCTATTTCGTTACCTTCGTACATCCTTAATTTTGTGCCCGAATCATGAATCATTTTATCGGAGTTGATTGTATTCCAAGTCTTTAACGAAATAATTGATACTGATGCTCCTGTATCTAGGATCATGTTTATTTCCTTACCCTCTATACTTAGATTGACTTTGAATTTTTCTTTACAAGATTTAATATCCATCGAGTATATATACGATATATCTCGTTGCCTTTTTGATCGCAAGATTTAATCAGATGTTTGTCACTACCGCATTTGAAGCAATTTTTTTTGTCTGGAAATATTGATTGTCGTTGTATTTATAGTTTTTATTGTTAGTGCTGTACTTTCCCCTTATCTTATCAGAATATTGATATTTGTTTTTATGATAATATTCATTGTTATCGTACCAATTATATCGATAGTATTAGTTATCATTATTACTATATTTGTTAACATTATTATTATATTTGTTATCATTATTATTATAATTGTACTGCGCGTTATCATTATTATATTATGCCTTCCATATTTCGAGTTGTTATAATAATTATATCTAATAAATCTATTATCTAATCTTGTCTGGTAAGGATAATTGTCCCTATATCGTTCCTGGCTATTATTATTACTATTGCGCTTTTGATTGTCTTGTTATTTTATTACTTTCTATTTTATCTTCGCATCGATCCTTTCCATCTTGACAATAAAATATATCTTCCGCTTTTTCTTTTTCCTCTATCAAATCCATAGTTCGGAGGAGTTTTTCGATTTCCTCTACTCCCATGTCCTCTTCTAATAATAACTTTGTTTTGATCTCTTTACTCTCCAATCCGTTGATTATCAGCATTTTTAGATTTTCTTCATATTTCTCTTTGAAGTTGCATTTCAATGCTAAAGCCTTTAACGAATTTAAAAATTCCAAATTAGTTTCTCCCTCTCTTTGGGTACGTTTAACAAATTGGAAACTTTCCAATGGTGCTATTTTTTTTTCGTTAGCTATCAAAGAATCTAACATATCGTCATATTTAATTTTATTAATAGACTTGGGAGCGAATTTTAAAATTACTTTATTTAAGTCGTAGGAGGACAATGCAGATACGAGTGCTGCCCTTTTTTTCTCGTTGTCAGATATATCATTCAATATAAAATATGCCTCTAATTTAATACGAAATGTTGAGAAAGAATCACTGTTAACCTTAATGGGAATCGATGGTGTCATCTTAGATACTTTTATATCGAATTTTAGTTATTTCCTCTGTTCGTCGCCCGTGTCGTCGCCAGTGTTAGATTCCTTATTTGTTGAATTTCTAAGTCGAGATTTACGTAATCTTAAATAATGTTATCTTTCCTTAATGCTGAATGGATTTTCTTTTTTCAATTTTATTATTTTTCATACAACTTCTTTTATTTTTCATTTTTCAAGAAAAAAAACAAAATCTTTTTTCAAAAAAATACAATTTTTTATTTTCATTTTCTAAGAAAAAAATCAAAAAAAATTTTTCAAAAAATACCAATTCCAAGAATTGGTCAAAAAAAATTAGTCACAATTCAAAAAAATTGATAAAAGAAAATAAAAAATAATAACAATCCAAAAAATCGATAAAAGAAATAAAAATATCTCCCTAAGATTTCACAACACTATGTTTATAAATATGTTTTATATACAATTTTTAATGTTTTCTCCAATTCTTTCTTATATTTTAAGTAAGTATTTCCCAGTACCTTTATTTATAAATCCTTTTGCGTCAAGTGTTAATTAATTTTTTATATTATTTTAAATATAAATGTACTACTATAAATAATATTTAAAATCCTATAAATTTTTCAAAAATCTAATTTGCTAGTTGAATGTTTATATGAAGAAGAGCCGCATAGCATGTCCGAAGCACTTTCATAGGTGGATAACGTTGGGGGTAAATGTAGTTTCTGTAAACATCAAAAATTGGATTAAATATTTTTTCAACTTTATATTTTTCTTTCTGTTTTCTTACTTTCATTCTTTTTTAAAACAAAAGAAATTAAAAAGATAGCTTAGAGGCTTGAAAATTCCATTTTTTTCAGCGAGCTCTTCCTGAATTTCTATTTTTATTGTAGGCCTAAGTTCAAAATTTTAAATTAAAAATATAAATTAAACGCATTTTTAAGCGAAATGAATTAAAAAACATTAATTTATTAGTGCTGTAAAGTAACGTCAAAAAAGTAACTTGGTTACCTTTTTGAAGAAAAGGAAGGTCATTCATTACCTTCTTTTAGAGGTAACAGTAACGGTAACGCGTCTCCTTTTTTTGAGTAACGGCAACGCAAAACTTTACTTTAAAGTTTTTCTTAAAAAAATATAAAAAAAGATAAATATATTTTATTGTACTATAAAATTACTTTTTTTTTAAATATAAATAATATAACCCAGTTTTTAATTCATATCAACCATCATTCCTTCATTTTTATTTTAAATTCTTGTTGTTAAATTTTTAGTCAAATGTTAATCTAATTAATCAATCAATCAATTCAAATGTTAATAATAGTCATATTATTATTTATTCTTTTTTAAAATTATTTTGTTTAATATTTATCAAATTTATAAATAGTCGCCTGATTTTATAATCACGTGTAAAACTCGTGATCTCCAAAAGTATAAAAGGGACTAGATTTTATAATTATGATGACTTTTAGTTTTTTAAAATATATTTAATCAATAAAATTTGAAGTTGAAAATTAATTCATTTTAGTTTTAGAGTTGTGATGGGTAAATTGAGTGAGTTAAAAAATGGCGTTGTACTACTGGTAGAGTTTTTTATAGTATATTCACAATAACGGTTAGAGTTTTTTTTATAGTGTATAATTATCATAAATAATATTATTAATCTATTTTATAATTTATTTTAAGAATATTATGTCCATAGTATTTACTTCTTCAAATGAAGATGATTTAACCCTTATCTGGCCCCAATTTGAAAGATATTTTACACCAATAAAGAAAATTAAGGGTACAAAGTCTACATTTTGTAAATGCAAATTATATCCCTACGCAAATATTTAAACCTCAATGTCCAGCAGTTCAAACTTAAAAAAGCATATGAAGGTAAAAAAGATGAATTAATATATTATTATTTTAAACATTACTTTAATAATAGAAAATTAACTCATGGGTATTATAAAATAACCATTAAAAAAGCATTCTTTCATAATATTTTGAAAAGCTTAATCATAAAATTAAAATATAAGCAATTAAATTATACTATAGTATAGGGCTGGGAACCAGCATTAAAAACCCAAGATTAACAAAATATTGGTATTGGTTCAAAATATTATATTGGGTTTAAACAATATCTTCTATTTCTTGTTTTAGTGCTATTGGTTTAACTTCAAATTGTTAATAAAGAATAAAATAGTGATTTTAAAGACTTTGTTAAATAAATATGTATCTTTAAATAAATATATATATGGAATAAAACTGAAGTAATATAGTTTTAGAGAACTGAACTTGGAATTTTTCCTGAATTCTTTTTAAATAATAATTCTGAAAAAAAATAAAATCGAAAAATTACCTTTGGCAATAATAATTTTAATTTTTAATATTTTCCTTGACAATAAGCTTAGTGAGGGATTAAAAACAACAATTAAATTTTTATTTCTCTTCAATTATTGAAAAAGCGAAGTTATTTTTAATAAAAAATTCAGGAATTTAATATTTTAATTAAATAATTATAAACTGTACATTCCTCAAAAATGAAAGAGATTAATGAACATTTGAATAGTAATTAAAAAAAATTAAAACTAATCAACTCACACTCATTGAGATGCATAATCCATCTACATCAAGATAAAAATAGCACAATCAGCAGTGGATAAATTAGTTTTTAATATAGTAATTTAAGAATTACAACCATTTTCAATTGTAGAAAGCACTGCATTTATTAATATTATCAAAAAATTGTATAGCCAACTAAAAATGTGATGTCTAGGCCTACCCTCGTATTAAAAATTAACAAAGCATATGACACCATGGCAAAGAAATTAATGGATTTATTGTGTATCCCAAAAATTGTCTATACAACTGTGAAATCATGGTCACTTATCATAGGTATATAAAATATATATTTCATAGATTGATAATATCGTCTTTGATCTAATTTAGAGATGACGGTACACTGGCTACACCCAAACACTCTTAAGAGGGTTTCAGCCTGCTTAATTTGTCAAAGGCACATTTGATATTTAGCAAAAATAATTTTTGAAATTTTTACCACATATAAGATACGAAATAAAGTACCAAATGCATTAGCGACAATGCTAGAAATTATATAAAAGCTTTCAAATAGTGTTGTTAAAAGACTCGATTTGAGCCGATTTTTAAAAAAGGCTAACTCAATTTTTATGCAGTAAAATATTACGAAAACCTGAAGATTTTGGTCGTTGTATGGTACAAAGATTTGGACATCTATTAGTCAAATCTCAAGGTTTAGGCAATATTTTTCTGGCTAAAATATTGGGTTAGCCGCAACACTACTTTCAAGTAAAAAAATTATAATATATTTATTAAAAATTTATTAAAGTATATGAACAAGTAGAGGAATCGGATGATAAAATATTTCCTCTGCCATTATTTGATCTATTTGAAAATCAAAATACTAATGATAGTATTGTATACTTACATAAGCATCATTCCTGTTCAGCACACACTTTAAATCTCATTGGAAGTGTTGACATTGAAAAGGCAGGTAACGATGCCCATTCTAAAACCATTTCAAAAATTACATTTTCTAAGTGTAAGCTATTGTGGAATAAACATGGGCAATCTTCAAACTGTGCAACAATTTTTAAGGAAAACATGGGAAGATATCTGATTAAACCGGGTATAACAAGATGGAACTCTTCTTATAACTCCGTGAAATTAATAGATAGTCTTATTAAGGAGAATTGCTAAAAATTTGACGAATCTTTTGATAAATCTGAATTACAGAGATTTTCAGGAAACGACAAGTCGTTCATGGATGAATATTGTATGGTTAGTGTTAATTAAGAAATATATGTGTATATATGATTTTATAGGTTATGGAACCGATTGCTATAGCTCTTTCAATTTTAGAGAGTGAAGAAAAAATGCATTTGGGATATCTCACTCCAACGATAACTATCATAATATTAAAACTTTAAAAAATGGCTTTAAATAATTTCAAGTTTTGTAAGCCGCTTATTAATTCAATCCTGGAAGGCATAGATAAAAGGTATACAGTTCATATATTGCTTACAATTTATAATTTGATTATCTTTTATTTTCAATAGATTAAAACACATCTATAAACATGAATATATTATCTGCAATAATTCACACGTTATTTAAATTGGAATGGCCTCGGATAAAATTAGAGGTCAACAAAGGAAGAATGCTAGCACTTATTTCCAGTTTGAGAAAAGATCTTGATAAAGAAAGAGCAGACTTAATCTCTTTATCCAACAAACATACCAGAATATTTTCTGATAATGATAAAAAAAAATTTGACGAGGAAATGAATGAATATCCTTGTGAAGTTGATCTATTAACCTCTTTTCAAAATAAAGGTAATTCTTTATATATTTTTAATAAATTCCCCGAATTTTAAATTTTATTTATTAAATATAATACAACTCTTCTATCCTCTGCACTAATTGAACGTGTAGCACGGCGAAAGCTATATTGAGCACTAAGCGCTCTTGATTGCCTGATCAAAATTTTGATATCAATTGTTGCTAAAAACAAATAAAAAATTGTTATAAAAAGATATTATCTTATATATAATATATTATTTTTGTATAATTTTATTTATATTGTAATTATATATATGAAAATTTTTTTTATAAAAAGATCTTATATTATAACAAATTCTTTTTGTATAGTTTAATTTATATTATATATTGTAGGAAAAAAATAAATATGTTTTTGTTAATTTTTTGCATAAAAAAATATTGATTTCTTAATTAGGTGGTGAAAAACCAATATAAATATCGGATCGGTATCAGTATCGGTTTTGAAACAATATTGGATCGGATCGGTGAAAATATGTGGATCGGTTCAAAGTATTATATTGAGTTTTTTAAACAATATCTTCTATTTCTTGTTTTAGTATTGCTATTGGTTTGACTATAATTGTTAATAAATTTAAAGAATAATTTAAAAACTTTGTTTAAATAATATATATATATGGAATAGTGGCGTAGCCAGGATTCATCCATAAAATTTCACAGAGAATTTCATTATAGATTTTATTTATTTTATAATACTATATATAACATCCCATTATTTAACCAACTGTGTTGAGCACTAAGCGCCCTTGTTTGTCTGATCAAAATTTTGAAATCAATTGTTGCTAAAAATAAATAAAAAATGATACATAAAGATGTTATCTTATAATATATTATTTTTGTATAATTATATTTATATTATAATTATATATATGAAATTTTTTTTATAAAACTATCTTATATATTATTTTTTTATAGTTTTATTTTATTATATATTGTCAAAAAAATATAAATATTATTTTTGTATATATTAAATTCTTTTAAGTAACGAGTAGCCCGTTACTTTTTTGAAAAGTCGGTAACGCGGGTTTCTTTTTTTAAAAAGGTAACGAGTAACGGTAACTAGTTCCTTTTTTCAGACGTAACGAGTAGCGGTAACACGTTTCTTTCTTGTAGTAACGTTTACAGCACTAATTTTTATCCATATCAAATTAGAATTCTAATATTATATTAATATTTTGATAAAACAAGAGAAAACATCTTTTTAAATTTTTCAGCGGAGCCCGATCTCTAGGGTAATTTTAAGCATAACAATATGTAGAAAAATAAACTTGTATAATAAATTGTTTTTTCTTCAGCTTGTAAGCCATGTCATTTTTTCCGGGGGGCACTTTGTAAGGCAAGGCGTATAAATGGCTAATTTTTTTAACACTGAATATTCCTAGTTGATTATAAATAAAATATAACTTTAACCTCTAAGAATGGGGGGGGGGCTTAAATTGGTTAATTTTGCCTCTCGTCAAAGATTTTAAAAAAAATATAAATTAATATCAAATATCTAATTTTCGTTTGACAACAATTGACTATAAAATTTGGACTGTATAATCAACTAATAATCGTTTTTTAATATCATTTCACAGTAACTAAGAAGATCTAGGTTTAAAAACTCAAAAATGATATTTACTCTAGCGGTAGACTAACATAAATGTTAATATGAAACAGAAATAATTGAAGTCAACTGTTCGTTATTTTGATACCGTATAATGTAATAGGATTTTTATATAATTTAGTTAAATTGGCATATAGGGGGAAAGGGTTCACCGGATACTTGAACATCCCCCCCCCCACTCGAAATATATTTTTTTAATTTAATACATGTGATTAAATATGTTTGAACTATAACACTTCAAATCAAAAGTTTTAAAAAACTTGAGAAAACAAAATGAATGTAACGATATTTTTTATCCTCCTTTTCAAATATCAATTATCGATCGATATTATTAAATACTCCAATTCGATAAATGGCGTCTTAATTTAAAAATTTAGGATAAATATTATATAAAAAAACTAAATAAAAAATAATAAAATACATAATTTATTTTTAAAAGAATGTTTATGATTTTAAAACTAAATAAATTATTTTAAAAATTTTAACAATTTACAATTAGCACGAATACACTAGGTGCAGATGCAGGGAAAAGGGCTCGTCCTCCTAACCAAAAAATTTGCTGCCAACTAAAATATTTTTCAAAAATATTACGATTTTATGATTTAATTTATATTTTATAATCATTACTACCTCCATAAATATATTTCAATTTACATTTATTTATCATATTCACAGCAAATAAATATGTTACTAATTAATTCTATGAATTAATATGGAATTCCAACTTTTCCTTAGTACCATTTTAAATTCCCATAAACTTCTCTAGCTAAAGTAAAAAATTTCAGAAAATTAATATTTAAGGTTTTAAATTTATTTAAAGATGGATATAAGAACTTTTCTACCAGTATTGATGAAAATCAGAATCTTAGTCATTTTGCCAAGGGTATGATGGAGCCCATGCAATGAATGGGCTTCAGACCTTTATGAAGAGAAAATGCCTAATGATTATATATGTGCACTGTGCTGTTCATTAAACTTGGCAATTTCTTATTCATGTTCTTCTACCATTGATATCAAATTGATTAAGTATTATTTATTTTGATTAAAATTTTTTATCTATATTCTAATTCAAATGTTGATAGAAAAAAAAATTAACATTTGACAGATTTTTATTGTGAGGATTTTAAGTATCCTATACATAACTAGCTGAATACAAACTATGGTATAAAAAGTTAAATATGGTTGATAATGTTCCAAAAAATTCTATAAATGCTTCAAATAATTTCAAACATATTTTAGACTATTTTCCTAATATTTGAAAATTATCATATATTTTGGCAACTCTACCCATTAGTACTTCTCCCAATGAAAGTAGATTTTCTTTTTTAACAAGAATTAAAACATATCTAAGAAGTAGTATTGTTGAATGGTTCGATTTGAACCTATTTTTAAAAAAAGCTAACCCAATATTTTATCCGGAAAAATATCTGTGTTTCGAAATTTCGCTAATAGATTTCCAAACTTTCGTGTTAAAATAGTCAGGCTTGCGTAATATTTTTTTGATAAAATATTTACGTAACCGTTTTTAAAAATTAGCTCAAGAGTCGTTTAACAATACTACTGAGAAGCAGTACCTCTTAGATTGAATGAGTTAGTCCTTCTTATACATAGGAAGTTGATATCGAGCATTCAACAATCTAAAATTTATTAATATTCATAAATGATTTATTTATATAGTAAAATCGTTGTAATCCTTTGTTCCAAAAATCTTTCTATTGTGCAGAAAATAATATCCAACTAATCAGGCGAGTAAGCAGGATTTCGCTAGGGGGAAGGGTAGTAATTTATTTAGGAGTTATTCAAGAATATCTTAAGTTCCAAAAATTTATTAGGATAGTGACTATAAAATATTGACAATTTCTAATAAATAAATGCAAATATAAGTAAATGGTAAAATAGCATCTTTAAGATAAATGTCTCGAAAAAGAACTTTGTAAAAAAATATAAATTTTTTAAGCAATTAGATATATAAATTTAAATTATATTTTAAAAAATTAAATGTTGGTAATATTGATTAATGCCCAAAAATATTCTTAGAATTATTGCATGTATATAGACTTACAAAATAGTATTCATGAAAAAAAAATAAAAAATGAAGAAAAATATAATTAAGAATCATATCACAAATTTATAATGTGAAATTCAATCTTCTAAGGGATTGAGCTATTCAATGATTTCATCAGTGCTTGGTATCAACTTCCTATGTATATTAAAAAGGGCTAACTAATTCAATACGATTTTACTATATATAAATTATTTATGAATATTAATAAATTTTAGATTGATGAATATAATTGAATAAATAAACTTAAAATAAAATAATTAAAATTTTATAGTATATTTTAAATGAATAGATCTATATGGTGGTATATTATAAAAAATATAGATGAATACAATTTAAAATTAAAATTCGGATCGGTGCCGATGAAAATATTCGGCAATATTCAGTACACATCTTGTTAAAAATTATATAGTTTTATAAAATTTTGACCCCTATTCCTCTTCCCGAAATAAAATACTAGATACGCCAATGATACCTTATATTATTTTCATTTTAATATAAAAAGTCGTTTATAATTATATTTCAAATAATTGATTCGTATATCCGGACTTATATAATAATGTTTTATGAATAATATTTTTAAACAAAAATTTATAATTGGAAAATAAATACTATACTTATTTATATTATAATAAAAATGGCAAACAGTTGACTTCAATTAGTCCTGTTTTTAACGCATTGATTGCCAATCTATAGTATTATATTTCCCTCATTGCTCATGAGAGCAAAAATATCAAGTAAGCCTGGATGTTATACAAGTTAGTCAATTTACAATTTAGTGATATACCATCAATAATAATAGATTTAAAAAATTTAAAAAAAAAGACAAAATACCATGATATTGATCTAGCATCGAGTTTTGGCTAGTATTATTTCCAGAATGTTCGAATGGTTTCAATTGAATAACGGTATGGCACAAACTTTCTATCCTCGACAACCATACACTACTTGGTGTAGCATTGTTCTATAGAAGAAAATAAAGTTAAAAATATGGAATATGCACATCGAGAATATGAGGTATTAAGTAAATGTAAAATAGTTTTCTTAACCATGCTGTTCATTCTTCCTGTCTTATTCTTAATTAATACCTTCCTTTCACCAACTTAATCAATTTTGTCGTATATAACATTCAATATGTCTTCATTCCGTATCTATTTTCATTTTTTTGCGTTTTTTTCTTACTTTATTATTCCCACCAACTCTTCAACTCAACCTTCTAAAATGTTAACAAAGAACATCTCTAAAGTGGGCCAGAGAGTAATTAATTAAAAAATATCAAATTTCTAAAAAAAAACTAAATATTTTACTTTTTGTGTTTTAAATGATTTTAAGAGGTGAAAATAAACGAGAAATATATCAAATTTTAATTAATCTTAATTAAATTATTTATCGCATTAAAATTGAGCACATCGCAAACATGGACTACTAGAAAAAAGACTTGAAAATTGATTGAAAAGGAAAATAATAGATAGTAAGTAATTTAAAAGGAGAAGTAATATAGGATATACTACTTATGTTTTAAAAATAGATATATTTTTTTATGTATTCTTTTTTAATCAATTTTTTTAAAATAACAACTTCGAATTGAGCAATCGGTAGTGAAATAATGATACATGTTTTGGTATCCTGAGTATTGAATGTCTTGAGCTTCATTATAAATTGGCATAAATTCGCATAATTTTCATCAACGCTTTTGCTTTTCATATGATAATATGGTGATCCTGTATATATCATCAGTATACGTTTAATTTAAAAAATGTTTCCTGCAAATTTCATCAAATTCTATCAACAGAGTCCAAAGTTATGCACATTCAAAGTTGAACATACAAAATTCAAACTTTTCAATATGTATAAAAATTCATTTTTTTATTAAACTTCACAATTCAACAAAAACATGAAAACATCAACAATTAAATTTGAATCAAATGTGGTACTTCAAAGCGCATGTTCAAAACCCGCTCTTAGCTCGAATACTGATCTAAGGTGATCTCGCCATTGATTGCACTGCACTATCAATAATTTCTTGATCAAAACGATTCCATTCCTAGAGTCACTGTTTAGATGGTTAACATCGCGTATGAGGGTTTGATAAACATGTTCCCAAAGAACTCTCCATATCTTGTAGTCTACCAGATTTAAATCATATTTATTAGAGGGCTAAAGAGTGAGTGAACTAAAATCAGGAGTTCCTCTTAAAAGTAGATACGCAATTTCGTTGGCTTGGTGAGCTGGAGCACCTTCCTGCTAAAATATTATAAATTCTTTGTCAAACAATTCTTTAATAGTAGACAATAACGACACAATTTTATGCACCAATAATTTTGACCACTAAGTCGATAAAGATGCTCTGTGCAGCCAAGACTTGATATCCCAACTATAACCAGGGCAGATTTAGAGAAAAATGTGAAGGAGTACAAAGAAATCAATAAGTTACAACTTATTTTTTTCTTATTGAAACTGCAGCGCATATCATTTTGAAGATTGACTGATAAAGCTACTGTAAACATGTTTCCTTTTTAAAAATTTCAGCTGCAACTCTTCGTGGATAATCCGATGCACTGAAGTTTACGAAATATCAGTTTCTCGGGATACTGGACAAATTGTTCTGTGGATGCCAGGCCTGTCTTCTTAGCTCAATATGAATGCTTAAGCAGAATCAACATTTTCCATAGCACGAGCAGTGTGTAATATACCGCCACCATACCATTTTTCTGCTGATCTGGTAGCATCCATTTTTGAAATCAATAGATTCAACGCTGCGATAGAGCAGGTTCTGTTAGGAAACTCCTTCAAAAACCCTTTGACTTCGTGATGTTTTTCGTGTCTTAAAATTTTAATTAAACTCAGGTCATCTTTACACCATTTTTTTTTAATTATCGTCTGCTTAAATATAAAATAAATATGAAAAAAATAATAAAAAATATAAATTTTTACACGTTGAAAAGTTCGACTTTTATTTCTCCAACTTTGAATGTGAAAAACTTTGAACCCTGTTGATAGAATTTGATGAAATTTGCATAAAACATTGATAATTTATCCCCCTCTTATTCTATAAAATTTTATTAAATAATTTTTAGAACTGCCAGATTTATTGCTAAAACAAAAAGGATATCAATTCAATTGGAACAAAATGTATAATTCTGATATATTTACAATGAAAATTTTCATTTAAAAGAAAGAAATTTTAATAAATAATTGCACGCCATATTTATCTAAAAAAATATGTTATTTTACTGTTGTCAAACGGCTTCTTATAAACGGCTAAACCCAACATGTCAAAAAATATAAGCCTGGAGATTTTGCTCATAGGTGTAAAAATGTTTGGATATCTATTAACGAAATCCTGAGACATATGTAATCCTGGTTTCTATCATGGACCCGAATCGTAATTTATAACGGGTCAGTTTGGTTACGGTTCAGTATGTAAAAAATTATAATGGTTACGTTTTGGTTACGGTTCTTAAGAAAAAATTTATAAAGGTTCGGTTCAGCTAATTGTAAAGGTTTATAATGGTTTATTACGGTTAGAAATTTTTTTTTATTGAAGCAACACCATCGTCTAATTTATATTTATTATAAATATCTATGAATTATTTATTAAAAAAATATATAAGATTCAAAATAACTCATCTTTAAATATATTATTTGAACGCATATGTAATATATTTTATAATATAAATGGATTCATATTTGTTCGTTGTGATAACGATACCTCAAATTTAAGTCCCGAAAAGGTCCTTTTTACAGAAACTTGTGTTGCGAGAACCGCAAGTACTATAAGAGCAAGGTTATATAATTCTGGATTTTCCAATTTTTGCGATTCCTAAAATATAAAAACTGAACCGGTTTAACCTTATTTTATAAGGGTTCTTTTTATTCCTTCAAAAAATAATTATATCGGTTCGGTTACGGTTCAGATATTTATAATGGTTTATGTTATGTTCATCATTTTTTTTATTTATTTATTTTTTTTTCTCGAAATTATCAATATTATTTTTGATTATCGATTTTTGAAATTTATCAATATTTTTCATGGAATTTATTTTTTCTCGGAATTATAAATATTATTTTTTTGATTATCGATTTTCCAGAAATTGATTATAATGAAAAGAAAAAAAGAATTTGGAAAAAAAAGATAATAAAAAATATAAGACATAATAGAAATCGGAAAATATTATAATGGCGACTATGTATACGGAAGAACCCGCGCGGAAATATATATATATAAAAAAAAAAAGAGAAAATTTAAATTTGATATAAAATTGTCTAAAATGCCAGCAGCAATTCCTGTTAAAGAAAACAATGACTCATTTACGACTTTTCGAATAAAACTAGAAGCCTATTTTATACTAAATGATATATCGGACAACGAGAAAAAGAGAGCAGCATTGATATCGGCACTATCAACCTATGACTTAAATAAGGTTATTTTAAAATTCGCTCCGAAGTCAATTAATAAAATAAAATACGACGATATGCTAGATTCGCTAATAGACAACGAAAAAAAAATTGCACTATTGGAAAGTTTTCAATTTTATAAACGTACCCAGAGGGACGGGGAAACCAATTTAGAATTTCTAAATTCACTAAAATCTTTGGCACTTAAATGCAACTTCAAAGAAAAATATGAAGAGAACTTAAAAATGCAAATAATTAATGGTTTAGAAAGCAAAGATATCACGACAAAGTTATTACTCGAAGAAGATATGGGTATAGAGGAAATTGAAAAACTCCTTCGAACCATGGACTTGATAGACGAAAAAGAAAAAACAAAAGGTATATTTTATTGTCAAGCCGGAAAGGAACAAGAGGAAGACAAAATAGAAAATAAGGAAATAAACTATATACAAGACAATAAAAGGTATAATAGTAATAATAATAATAACAGAGTTCAGGAACGCTACAGTGACAATTATCCCCACCAAACGAGATTCGATAACAGATTTACTAGATATAATAATTATGACAACTCGAATTATGGAAGATATAATAACGTTAATCCGCGGTACAAATATGATAATGATAACAAATATTATAATAATGATAACAAATATAATAATAATAACAACAAATATAATAACAATGATAACTACCGACATAAAAATTGGTACGACAACAATAATTATTATCATAAAAATAAGTATCAATACTCTTACGATAAGACAAGGGGAAATTACAACACCAACAATAATAACTTTAAATACAACGACAATCAATATTATAGTCAGACAAAAAAAACTTGCTTCAAATGCGGTAGCGATAAACATCTGATTAAATATTGCGATCAAAGAGACAAAGAGGAAGATATATCGTATATATACTCGATGGATATCAAATCTTGTAAAGAAAAATTCAAAATCAATTTAAATATAGAAGGTAAGAAAACAAACATGATACTAGATACAGGAGCATCAGTATCAATCATTTCATTAAAGACATGGAATAAAATCAACTCCAATAAAACAATTCATGATTCGAACACAAAATTAAAGACGTACGAAGGTAACGAAATCGCCATCATAGGCAGCGTGGACGTAAAAGTTCAAATAAAAGAAACCATAAAATATCTACCCTTAATAATAGTGAAAGCTGATGGACCCTCATTGGTAGGTATAAACTGGATAAAGGAATTCAGAGAATTGGTATGGAAAGAATCAATATTAGCAGGAACAGAAAACACATACGATAATAATAACAAAATATATTATGTGGAACAAGAATTAAAAGCCTTAACGGAGAAGTACGTAACAATATTCGATAAAAAGTTAGGGAAATTGAACAATATGGAAGTCCATTTGAGTATAAAAGACGACGCGATCCCAAAATTCTGCGCCCTCAGGAAAATCGAGGTGGATGAGGAATTAACTAAATGGATTAATGATGACATAATAGAACCCATAAAATTCTCAGAATGGGCCAGTCCTCTGGTCCCGATAGTGAAGCCCAATGGGAATATTAGGTTGTGCATAGATTACAAAATAACTATAAATCCATGGATGACACCGGACATATACCCTATCCCCAGAATACAAGAAATATTCAACAAATTAAGAAAAGGGGAAAAGTTTTCAACCATTGATTTTTCAAATGCTTACCATCAAATAGTAATAGATTCTGATTCGAGGAAGTATTTAGCTATTAACACCCACAAAGGTTTATTCCAATTTAAAAGAATGCCATTCGGAATAACCCAGGCGTCAGCAATATTTCAAAGGACCATGGACCTAATTTTCGGGAAAATGACGGGGGTAGCATACTACATTGACGATCTAATAATTACCGGTTCTTCAGATGAAGAGCATCTAAAAAATCTAGAGGAAATATTCCAACGAATGTCGGAGTTCGGTCTCAAAGCGAATTTCGAAAAGAGCAAATTCCTTAAAGAAAAAGTAAAATACCTAGGACATGTCATATCCAGCAAAGGTCTTATGCCCTCAGATGAAAAACTAGAAGCGATAAAATATGCTCCAATTCCTGAGTCAGTCAACGAATTGCAGTCACTATTAGGACTTATGAATTAATATCATCGATTTATAAAAAAAATTTCAACAATCGCGGCACCCATTTATGACTTATTAAAGAAAGGCAACAATTTCCAATGGACGGAAGAATGCGGATCCAGTGTTGAAATCTTAAAGAGATGTTTGACTAATCCTCCAATAATCGTTCATTTTGATCCAGGTAAAGATATCCAACTCACTACGGATGCGTCTATGAAAGG